TTATATCGTTACCCCCCTTGAATAATATTCTTTCCGACCCTGTACATTCATAATATATAATTACTTTTTTTTTTCTTGTGACCATATATTTAAAATACGAAATGAAGTAATTTATTTTCAGGGATATATATATATGTATGCTTGTCATTTTCAATCTTCTAAAATTATATTTTGATAAAATCTATGTTATATTCAAATAGTTTCATTGGATGATATCGAATATTATGCAAACAGAGATAAAATATACTTACAATAATTGTCATTATCATTTATAATTAGTCGTGTTAACAATATGTGAACTCTATTTTTATAAAACTATACTCATGTCTATTTGTAGTTTTGTTGTCAACAAAAAAAGAAATGAGATCTTTCTTTTTGATTAAAAAATATCTTTTTTATTATTCACGATTAATGATGTATTAATATTCAAAAGAAAATTATTATCTGTGCCACATTATCTGCATCGTTGATGATACTCAAAATATGTCGCATTCTTGAATAAATTCTATTTTTATACAATGGATTGAAATAAAAATACAATTTCCGATATAAAACATTTTTTTTCACTTAATAGAAAATGTTGACGAGCAAAGTTCTTTCTTTGTCAAGAACCTGTCATTTCAAAGACTATATCATAAGAAGTCAATAAGATTGTCTTTAATTTACATGCAATTATTCTCAATTATCAAACGTCAAAATTCTTTTATGAATTTTTATAACGATCTATTTTTAATAATTCAATGTCTATATAAAATAGAGATGATTATTCGTGTCTATAACGACAACAATTCCCTATACATTTTTACAGCTGTGTGAAAGCATCGTACAGATTACGTGATAACTGATAAAAATGCACCCTATGACACATTCATGTTAATAAGTGTTACTGGAAAACATCAAACACGACTTAGATTCTTTACTTTTTATACGAACATTTGTTTTGTTTATTGGCAAAATTTTTTTATATTTATTCTGACATATTAAAAAAGATTTAACTTATTGACGGCGAAGCCCGTAAATTTACGTTTTCCAAACTTGAATAGAGAATGAAACCGAAAGATACTAAAACAGACTTTTTCAATATTTGCTGTATTCTGACATAGATGACACTGGTAACAGCATTACATCGTTAAAGCAAGTCTAAGTGCACGCAACATAATAGTCAATAAGTTTCAAAGTATATCATGTTAACAATAGATTTTTAATTTATTGATTCTAGATATAAGTTCAATTCAAAAGGTTTAAACAATTTGACAAAAAACAATTATTTTTCTTGATTTTTATTTAATAAAACATGTGTTACAAAAAAATGCTGGAATAAATATAGAAATACAAAATATACCAAATAATGTTTATGAATAATAATTAATTAGTTTCTTTTTTTGTTTAACTGCAAACATGTTTGTCTTTATGACACTCTGCTTTACAAGCATGTTCTTGTGCTTTTATTGCAGCTTTATTAGATTCAAATGCTGCATCAGCACGATCACTTGGTTTTTTAGTTGGATCAAGTGCTTTTTCTGCCTTATCGTCAGCTCTTTTGGTTTGAACAGCTTCTTTTGCTTTTTCTACACCAGCTTTAATAGCATCCATTTGTTCTAACTACAATAAGAAAATTAAAATACTAAACAAGAAAAGATTTTCTTTATACATACCTCAATAGAATTATGAAAATAATAGTATTTGTTATAGTTATTCGCAGTAAAAGAATGAAGTCAAATGAGTAGATTCTTCCTATTTATTAGTAAGCACAACAGGAAGAAAAACGATCGCTTTTTTCTCTTTAATTCTCTTTTTTTGCCCTTCTCTCTGACTCATCTATTCTCAAGTAACTTTATGCGAATTAAAGAATAGAAAAATAGGGGTCATGCACTGTAAACGCAATGGTTGGTCATGTGTATATGGCACGTTCTTTGTAATGTGGAGCAGTTTGTACTTACTCGAGGAGAAATATGACGAAGGACGAATATAGGGGTGTGCGTGTGCGATAAGCTAAAAGAAGTGCAACGTCAGACGGGGTGATGCAGTATTTCTTATCGGAATAGCGTACTTACAAATAAAGATTCATACAGAACAAATCGAAGAATTAAATATATTTTGATAACAAAAATAAATAAAATAAAATAAGATTATTTTCTTTTTGTTTGGATACTTAAAAGTACACAATGAAAAATATTATAAAATACAGTCAAGGACAATTGAAATTATACCTTTTGATCTTTTTGTTTTTTTATTACTATACATTTTTATCTATTAACTTACTATATATAGGAAGAAAGCCTAGAACTTGCTGCATCTTTTGATATATTTACTTTGAACATCAAATGTAGTTTAAAATGTAAAAAGTGGATTGGAAAAAAAAGGAGCTGTTTTTTGCAAAACTGAGTGTCTATAAGTTTGTAGTATTTTTTTTACTTCATACATATCTCGGTTTAGATAAATGATAAAACCTTGAATTTTTTTTTCAAAAAATGCGCTGTAAAAAGTTCTATAAAAGCTGTATGATTGGATCCCTTTTACCTATTCTAATAATTTTTCTTATATTCAAAATGAACAACTTTTATAGTAGTGTCACTTCCCATCATACTGAAAATGTTGGAAGACCTTTTTGTTCTGCATATATCTTGACTTGAGAAAATGATGAAATATTGAATTTGGTTTAAAAAAAATGCGCCGTCGAAAGCTCTACAAAATTTGTATAGACCAAATTCTATTGTGACTCGGATAAGTTCTCGAAATATTTTCTATATGATGAGAAGTAACACTGCTATACAAGTTGTTGATTTTGAGTATAAGAAAAATTATTAGAATAAGTCAAAAGGATTCAGTTATACAGCTTTTATAGAGCTTTTCACGGAACATCTTTTGAAAAAAAATTCAAGATTTTATCATTTATCTAAACCGAGATATGTGCGAAATAAAAAAAAACTACGACCTTATAGACACCCAGTTTTGCAAAAGAAAAAAAATTTCCTTTTTTTTTCCAATCCACTTTTTACATTTTAAACTACATTTAATGTTCAAAGTAAATATATCAAAAGATGTAGCAAGTTCTGGGCTTTCTCCCTATATATGGTAAGTTAATAGATAAAAATGTATGGTAATAAAAAAACAAAAAGATCAAAAGGTATAATTTCAGTTGTCCTCGACTGTAAATTATTTATATACATGTTCATCTTTCTTTTAATTGTTTCAGCTTTAGATAGGTTATTAAATACATCAACATGTGCACATGATGTTTTCGATGGATTTACTTCTTTTTTTTTTGCTGAGTTTACTATCAAAGTTTTTGTTTCTTGAAGATCTATCGAGAAAAATGATTATATACAGATGCGCAGAAACTGCTGGTAAAATAAAAAAATTTCTCTACTATTAAAATAAAGGAAAAGCCGAATTCACTTTTTTTCATTCACATATTCGAAAAAAAAAAACGTAAAAGAAATCAATTTATTTAATACACCAAAAAAGGTTATATATAACAGTAATCTTTATTAATAATTTATTACTAGAAACATTATTCATTCAAAAAAGTAATCCATTGTATAGTTTAATAATAGAACAAGTTGTTTCAATATTTTCTATTAATAAATGAATCACAGAAGCTGTGTACAAAGATTACTACAAAAGAAATATCTCTTTATTCGAATTCTCAAATGAAAAAAATTTCTTCAAACTTAAAGCATTTTTCTTAACATACATTGGCGTACCATCTGGTCAATTGAATTTATGCATAAGTGATGATAAACTTAACTATAATCTTTTTCGTAGTGATTGATGATTACCTTAATGATAATATTTCTAACTAAGAAATAAAAAAACAAATAATAATCTATATCATAATATAAATCAATAATTAATAAATGAAAGTTTACTAAGTTGCTCTGCCAAAAAAAAAATGAATTTTGATTTTCGTGTCGAAGTTTGCTTCACTATCTGATGTACTCACATATATTTGTTCTCATGAGCATGATTTCAGAGATTGATCTTTTATCACCGAATAGCATCTGCTTCATCGTTAATAAAAAATTCTTGTATAATATTCAATAAAATTGATTAAAACAATTTC